AAGAGAACTGATCAGGGAAAAGCCTTAATTGCTTGCTTGCTGCTCTCTAAACTACTACCTACTGAGTACGTATTAATTACCGGCCAAATCATCGATTTGGATGGAGGAGAGATCAAGATTCAAGATGATGAAGATGACCCATTAGCACCACCGACATTAGAAGAGGAAGGTTTGTTTGTAAATCAATTAGGATAAATGCCATATTTGGTCACCGAAATTACTAAATTGTGTCATATTTAGTCACTAGAAAAATTTAATATCAATTTTGGTCACCCGAATTACTGAAACATGTCACATTTAGTCACTCTCTCATTAGTCTCCATCCAACTTTAGTCCACTTGAATTACTGAAACGTGTCACATTTAGTCACTCAAATTACTGAAACATGTCACATTTAGTCACTCTCCTGTTAGTTTCCGTCCAACTCCATTAATGAAGTTGAAAGGAAATTAACGGGAGAGTGACTAAATATGACTTGTTTCAGTAATTCGAGTGACCAAAATTGATATTAAATTTTTCTAGTGACTAAACATGTCACGATTGAGTAATCTCGATGACCAAATGTGGCATTTACCCAAATAAATTATGTATGATATGAATTCTAATACTAATAATTGATAATAATTCTACTTGTTTTCTCTTGTATTGTAGTTGGTGATGAAGAAGATGAAGGGATGACTTGGAGAATGTAGACTTATCTACATTTGGTGTTGTTTGATGATATGAAACGTTGTTTGTGAACATTGCAGTGCTTGCTAGTTTGTGTTTGTGGTAGTTGTAACTTGTGGTTTGAGAATGGTGTTTGGTTTGAGAATGTTGTTTGAACTTGTGGTTTAAGAATGTTGTTTGTACTCGATCGTAAACATGCATTTGAACGATTATGTAGTTAATTCAGTAATGTTGCAGTTTGTTGAATTTTATATTACATATGCTTATTTAGTTTATTCAGGTTTGTTATCCGGTATATTCTGGTTTTATTCCGGTATTATTCCGAAACGGTATCACAAATCTGCCGGTACGGTTTTTTCAAAAAAAATATTATTTATTTACAAAAATGGTATTTTGCCGGTACACAACGATTGAACCACAGTAGTACCACAAAATACCCTACCACTGGCGAAGCCGGTATGACTTCCGGTACGGTTTCCTTTACCATGGTTGCTCGCTCGACATAATCTTGTCGTTGTTATGAATTGAAACTCAAACTTGTGGAATGATGTATGTTGGCATACAATTATATGATTTTAATTGCATTGGGAAATTCTAACACGTTAATAATTATTAAATTGCATGTTTTAATTTATATGATTGTTGGATTTTTTTTTTTTTGTGGAAAAATGATTATTGGATTTATAATTGTTATTGTGTGCACCCAATCACGGTGGAACATACGGAACACGCAATCCAAGAAATGTGGATCACATAATGGAGTCCGGATCTGGTGACTAAGGGGGGGTCCTTAGTCACTTGACTAAGGCCCCCTCAGCCCTTGGATTGATCTAATGGTCCAGATAAAATGTTAAATTATTATTAAATGAAAAGGGTAGTTTTGGCATTATCAAAAATTCATTAATTCCTAATTTCAGTTTTGTTTTATTTATTTCTTTTTTTCCTTCCTCTCCAACCGTCTCCTCTTTTCCCGTCCAGAGAGAGAGAGAGATGGAGGAGAGATGCTCGATTCAACGGCGACGGTGGTGGAGGAGAGAGAAACACCCAGCGGCGGGTCTGTCGGAGAACGGCAGCGACGGCAATGATGGATCAGAGAGAGGCGGCGACCTCGATTGAAAGATAGAGAGAGAGAGAGGCAGCAATGGCCGTTGTCACAGAGGAGAGAGAGAGAGAGATCGTGGCGGAGAGAGAGAGAGGCGATGGCGGAGAGAGCTTCGACGATGATGGAGGAGAGAGAAGCGACGCGGTGATGGAGAGAGAGAGGTAACGACGGCTGTAGAGAGAGTCGGCGGCGGCGGCGGCGGCGTGGAGAGACATCGTATCGTCATCTGAAGGAAGAACAGTGATTTGTATAGTTTGTATGTTTTGTAACATTAGTTTGTATTGTTAGTATTTTTGTACAAAATGTCAGTATGGTTTGTATGTTTTTCTTTGACAGTTTGTACTCTTAGTATGTTTTTCTTTGACAGTTTGTATTCTTAGTATGTTTTTCTTTGACAGTTTGTATTCTTAGTATGTTTTGCTTCTATTCTTAGTATGTTTCGCTTTGTATTGTAAGTACTAATAATTTGTATACTTTATATGTACTGATTTGTGATGCAAAAAACATTACAAACATGGTTGACAAAAATGTGGACAAAAATAACAAACATTACAAACAATACAAAAGAAACCAACAAACATTGCAAACATTACAAAATAACAAACATTACAAACATTGCAAACAAACATTACAAACATTACAAACAGTACAAAGCATACTACACGTACATAATATCACTACTTAGAATACAGATTGGTAAACTTGTATTACAAACAAATGAATACAAAGTATACAAATCATAACATAAAAGTATACAAACTTGAATAACAAAAGTTACAAATTACAATATATACAAAATAGTCATACAAACATTACAAACAATACAAACATTACAAATAGGGCTGGGAATCCAGACCAAACCGTATGGAAAATCGCGGTCTAGACCATATCGTATGGTTTGGTCTGGACCGTGAGACCAGAACTATGGTCTGGTCTGGTTTGCGGTCTCCTCCTTTAGTGCGTGGTCTAAATGGTCTGGACCGCGGTCTACCGCAGTAAACCGTAATAGACCGCGACACACTACCTACTAACTTGAACCAAAATAACACAAAATTGAACCTCCATATGTGTATTTGAAGAACAAAGTTAGTTGATTCTTCGTCTAGTTGAGAGCCAACAAATTGCAAAATGATCGCTTATATGTTATCTCCTTATCAAAGTACCACACAAAAATCAGAAAGACTCATAAATAATATTCACAGATAACGTCAAGACTATGGAGTCGATAAAAATTAAACACTACAAAAAAATTCGTTCACCTTGATGAGATAAGGAAAATTATTGAGAGATATGCGACCATCTTAGTGGTTCGAAATTACCTCGACGTCATCAAAAAGGTTATCAACTGGGAGAACCTTCGGATCACTCGAGAGAGGAGAGAAGCGGTAGCACAAAGAGGAATAGGGAAATAAGGCTATTTGAAAATTGAAAAAACCCACTTCTATCCTCATATATCTTCTCATTTAATACGGTCACAATTTTTTTGTTTCACTAGCATATTGGTCACTAGATTTTTTTTATAGATACCGGCGAAGGGTTGGAGGGCGAACAAGAGTTAATTTCTTTTAACATGGTCTGTCTGGTCCAGACCGTACCGGACCGCACCGCACAGATGTGGTCTGGTCTGGACCGTATAGTATATGGTCTGGTCCATGGTCTGTGTTCCAACCTCTCGGTCTGGACCATAGACCGTATCTATGGTCTGGTCTGGACCGGACCGCACCGTTTCCCACCCCTAATTACAAACATGGTTGACAAAAATAACAAACATTACAAACAATACAAAAGAAACCAACAAACATTACAAACATTACAAACATGGTTGACAAAAATAACAAACATTACAAACAATACAAAAGAAACCAGCAAACATTACAAACATTACAAAAGAAACCGACAAACAGTACAAAGCATACTACACGTACAAAATATAACTACTTACAATACAGATTGGTAAACTTGTATTACAAACAAATGAATACAAAGTATACAAATCATAACATAAAAGTATACAAACTTGAGCAACAAAAGTTACAAATTACAATATATACAAAATAGTCATACAAAGATTACAAACAATACAAAAGTGTACAAACATTACAAAATAACCCGACAAACAGTACAAAGCATACTAAACGTACAAAATATCACAAAAAATGACAAACAATACAAAACATACTAACAGTAAAATCATAACATAAAGTATACAAACTGGAATGATAAAATTACGAAATCGTCGCCGCCAACAAATTGGCGATGTCGGTGTCTCTCTCCTCCTCAACCGCCGCTGCCTCTCTCTCCTCCACGGTCGTCGTCCCTCTCGTCGTTGTTCCTCGCCGCCGCCGCCGTTCCTCGCCGTCGTCGTTGTTGTTACTCGCCGCCACCGCCGTCTCTCTCTCTTCTCCTCTACCGCCGCCGCTCTCTCTCCTCTACGGTCGCCATCGCCTCTCTCTCTCTTCTCCTCTACCTCCGCCTCTCTCTCTCTCTCCCCCGAACACAGAACGCCGTCGTCCCTGGCCGCCGTCGTCCTTCGCCGTCGTCGTCCCTGGCCGCCGTCGTCGTCCCTGGCCGCCGCCGTCTCTGTGGATTCATCTCCGCGTGCGACAAACAGGTGAGGGAAACACTTTTTTTTTTAATTACAAAATTAAAATGTACAATTACTATGTTGTCCTTCCTTAAAATGAATTAATTGTAGCCTTAAGATTTTAATGAGCATGGAAGGCTCAGATTGACTTAGCCAAGTGACTAAGGGTACCTGATCTTAGCCCTCACATAATGAACAAGACGCAGTTGAATTGTTAGCAGTCCGATATATACTGCGCCATGAGATGAGATGTTCCCTGCCTAACTTGTCACGTGATCAACAGAATAATGATGCTTTTAAGTTTTAATTAGCCCTGCGCAAGCATATACTACGTACACCAAGGCCCATATCGTATTCATATTTTATGAACTTGGGCCTCCTTGGTTGGTTTAAAAACTATAGAAGCCCTAAGTAGAGAGCTCAACGATCTTCACTTCCTGTACGAAATAGATCGGCCCATTCAGGCCCATGTATTGCATCCCGGGTTTAAGACGTTTCTCTCATGTTTCTGCCAATTTCCAGCAAACCCTCCTCGGTCCGTTAACTTCGCTTTCCCGCGGCGAACGTCAATTCTCTCCGCAGAAATCAGGTACGATCGGTTTCTAGGGTTTCTAAGTTCTCTCGATCTTCCGATCATTGAAGTTAGATAGCTTACTGTATCGGCGTTCGCTTTCCTTCAATCGGTAGGGTGATAGAATGTATTCAATTCGATTCCAACCTCCGGAAAACCCAATGGAACACTCTGGAGACTGTCGCGTGCTCTGGGTATCGAATTTCTTCTGAAGTTGTTTTCTTTTTTGTCATATGCAGAAGTCTCCTGAATTGCTTAAACCACCATCCAGATGTTCAAAAACACATTTCAATCTGGATTCCTCTCCATCCTCTACAGTCTCGGGTGAGTTCTGGGTTTCCTGGCGTTTTAATTTAGTGTCGTAAATTATCGGTCTTTTTTCATTTCTATGTGTTGGTTATTTTTCTCTGTGTAGGAGCAAACCTCTGCAGATATGGGATAAAGAAGGTAAAAAGCTTCAAATTGTCCCTTTTCTTTTTTCGTTGGAGGCTTATCTGATGAATTTTGAAATGCTAAGCCAAGCAGCATTGTCTGCTTGCAGTTTCAAATGGGCATGTGAAACGGCCTCATGATGAAGACATACAGTCCAATGTGCTGGAAATCGTCGGGTCGAAAATCCAGTCCACTTACATTACATGCCCAGCTGACCCTAATGCGACGCTCGGTATAAAACTGCCTTTCTTGGTCATGCTTGTCAAGAACATGAAGAAGTACTTCACGTTTGAGATTCAAGTGCTTGATGATAAGAATGTCAGGAGACGTTTCCGTGCTTCTAACTTTCAAGTGTGTAAGTTTGCCCCGTGTTTTCAAATATTGTTGTGTTGGTTAGTTTCGGTTGGAACTTCCCTTTTCCTGTAGGTGGTTAGTTGGAACTTTACTAGTCTGAAGTTTCTTGTATAAGAATTCGGTCTGATTTAGCCATCATGAATATCATTGGATGCTAATCAGAGCTCTCTCCATTGGAAATGATTGTATGTCCTCCAAGTTTTTGCCTTCCCTAAAAGTTTTGATTCGTTTGTTTTAGCTGGTGAAGTTTTCCAATTGCAAGAGTTGAATGGTTGGAGCTAGAAGGCTAGATTTACAGAGATTATGTGATATTCACAGAATGACGGTTTCACAGAATTTTGAACACTGCCATACTGATTTCAAACTTCTCTCTTCAGGCTGTTACTCGGGTGAAGCCATACATTTGCACCATGCCGTTGAAACTCGATGAAGGGTGGAATCAAATACAGTTGAATCTGGCTGATTTTACTAAGAGGGCTTATGGGACCAACTACGTCGAGACTTTACGAGTTCAGGTGCATGCAAACTGTCGCTTAAGGAGGATCTATTTCGCCGATCGACTCTACTCAGAAGAGGAACTCCCACCTGAATTTAAACTCTACCTTCCGATGCAGCAGGTATAATCGACTTATTTTCACCTGGGAAATTGGTTATGCCTTCCCTGCCTTGTTAATCACGGGTTATCATTCTGCAATTGCTCGTTCTATTTGCAGAAAGCATGAGGATATTTCTGGGACTTTGCTGGCGGATGTTGTCACTTGTCAATTCAACCAGTTCACTGGTTTTCTCCAAGCTTTTAAAGTTTATTGCTGTGGGTTTTGCAATTGTACTCGTTAGATATAAGGGTCACTTGTATTCTTCTACAAGTATATGAATTGTGACTGTTGAATCAGGTCAAACAGTTGGTGCCTAAACAGTGAGTTACAACTCTCCTAGGGGTCGTTTGTTAGTCGTGTACTTATACCCTGGCAATGAAATACATGGTTTCTCCAGCCGTACATTTTTTTCTTGTTTCATTTTAATGCGAAATCAATTTATTTTATACTTCTAGGCACATGCAATGTATTTCATTATTCTTTCACAACATAATTTGTTGTAAAATGAAACTAAGGATGGCAAAAATAACTATAACTATGGATATTAGTTTGAAGCAAAATGAAACTAGAGATGGAAAAAAATTAACTATATCTATAGATATTAGTTCGAATCCGATCTAATTAGATAGGGTAAAATCGAATCGGAAGGGGTTTTAATGGGCCTGAATAATATTTGAATTCGAACATTGTGGATAATGAATGAGAATGATTTTCTCATTATTCAATATAAACTCTCATGATTATAATTATACACATATTTTGTTTAAAACTATGATTATTTTTCTTAACACATGATATTTTGTACATATTTTATATTTTATGAATTTGTGTGATTTTTAACTAATTTTCTTTCGTTCTAATAATTTATTGTTGTATTTTTTCACTTATATAGTGTCATATTAATTTGGAATTATAAATGAAAATTTTTACTCTGGTCGTGGATACTCAGAACCTGATCGAGTTATGAGCATGATTTTGATACTCTAGTCGTCGATTATTTTGTGCATGAGTTAAAGTAAAACCCGAACAACTTTAAATAGAATTATAGATTTGCACTATCTGTCCCCAATTTGATCCATTGCCACGCTAAATCTAACGTGTTCCCTGTATTTCGTTTCATTATTCATAATATAATTTGTCCTTTCACTTCATTGTTATTCACAACCTAATTATCCAAAATGGCAACATCACGTAAAACCAGTTCATCAACAGCACATGTATTAAACATATTCTTTCTTTAGGCGTCAAAAAAAGTTTCGAAATTATAGTTCTTAATGGCAACAAACATATGCGTTATTGCAATTCTCAAACAATCAGCCCCGAAGTTGAGTTCTTCCTACCTCTTAATTTCTATAATCGATACAATCACCATTAATCAAACAGATGCTATACAAAGACTTCACCGTTACAATTCTCTACAATTGAAACATACAAAGTCTTCATCGTTACAATCCTCTACAATTGAAACATTACACTTATTTTCACCTACAAAATGGAACACTAAGGTTTTGTTCGTTATGTTAGAACGTATTAGGAGCTGCCATCAAATGACATTACAAAATGTTTGCTTCATACTATCTCATCACAGTTCGGTAAAAACAATGTCAACTTATCAAGCGCCTCAGAAACGAGACCTAAGTGGGCACCACCACTGTTTTTGCTGCCACATTCAAGTCCGGGCTCTTTGATTAAGAGACTATTCAGCTCACAGCTTATATATCAGCCTCAGCGTCAGTCTCCCCGTCAGCCGTCACTGTTTCTACCCCTTCACGGTCCGGTTCAAGCGGTCCATCGGTTTCCAGTTGCCCTGCTTCTTGACCCACATCAGTATCTGAGTTAAGCTTTTGTTCCTCCTCCGCTGTTGGAGGAGTACCGCCATCTTGGGAAGTGTTCACAGTTCCTGCAGCTGCATCAGTCTCCATTGGTGCGGCCGAGGCTTCAACTGGCCTAGCACCTTCACCGTCGTTCTCGCTTGCAACCTATTTAAATACAAAGGTCAGGCAGAGAGGACAGGGTGGCTAACTAGTTTAGGATTTTCAGTTAACCAGAGACAGGAATCAGTTAATATAACTCAATACTAAAATCTTACTGAAAATTCAAAGCATAATATGCAGGATGAAAGATTTGAACTTCCATCAAATTCACCACAAAAAACCATGGAGACGCGGTTTATACCAGTCATTAAGTTCAGACAAATACCCATCTGATCAACAGTTTGGTTAGGGTCAGCCACCATAGAGTGAGATACACGAAGATAGAGGAAATGCCTCCCCGCAAAATTGAATTACCTGAGCTTCTTCTGATGGTTGTGACCCGCCCTTGACTTCTTCCTTCTTGGCACGCTTAGATCTGTCACTCGGTTTAGCCTGGTACTTGGACCGGACCTCAGGTGCCAGAATTTCTAGAGGAACTACTCCTTCAACACCAAGGTCAGTGAACTGCCAACAAGTTTCTTTCATACTAAGAAGGATGCACAAATTGGACTCCCGATCAATAAATTCACAAACATCAAAGTCAAAACTTACTTTGGAAAAACCCTCAAGGTCTTGCCTTGCTGAAAACCGCAGACCTTTCCAGCAATATACCTGCACGGAAAACCGTCATTATATTAGTAATGACAAGTTCCGAGCTCTGCTGTAAAACTGCCATTGTGATGCGAAGAAAAGAGAAGATATGGTGAGCTTATAGCTACTCGGTTGTTCTTGTGGTGATATTCTGCTTCAATTCCTGCTGCCGGGTCCATCTGTTCAGACAATGAAGATAGAAGTATTTTAATCTTCCAACAAGATGGATATGAAACCAAAGCAGAAAATATTATTTGAGTTTCAAAATGGCAGAGGAGCTTACATCTTCAGCCAAGGGCTTCCAATATTCCGTGATTGAAGGAGTCCGTACACGCTGAGGGTCAGTCAAAGCATTCTGTTGAGAATTGAACGAAAAGTTAAGTTAATAATGTAAGCAGTAATACTGAAGCAGAGATTCGAAACAGCAGGCTGAAGAGCTTATACATACAGGATTCTGGTCTGCCCATTTCCACAACTGGGATAGTTCTTTGTTTCCCAATCTCCACCTAGGTCTACTGCAGGATTCAAAACATACATGTACCACATTTTATCAACATGCAAGTGAGAAACGAGCATCAGAAGCACAAAATTAAAGAAGAGGGGGTAGCATAATTTTGACAAGATCGCCCCGGATCTGAACACACTAAAAAGGGATCAGTACATGGAGCATAATACCGTTTCTTATTCCCTTCCTGGGCTGATTTCTTCTCTGCTGGTTGTTTTTCAAATGGAGGGCATCCGTCACGCTTCCACCAAACCTAAAAGTACCAGCATTGTGAATAATTAAATATCACATCTTTATTCTGACTAAAAGATAGGGGGGGGGGGGGGGGGGGGGGATTCAAAAGGAAGCTTATACCCAGTTTTTTTCACGTTCTAGTATATGCTCAATCTTGCGAAGAAAATCTTTTCCTTTAGGAGGAGTCATCTCGAGTAATTTCTTCACACGCTCCTCACTGGATTTTATCTCTTCTTTCTGGCATGAGCAAGAAAATTGAAGTGAGTTTGTAGCTAGAATACCGGATGTTACAGGTTTCAGTGTATATAAAACATAAAGGAAACATCCAAAATAGAGTGAATAATAATGTCCCGGAATGCACATAAAGCATCGACGCATAGTATAGTTTTAAGAAACTAACCAAGGAGAGACTCAAATAATCAATCCTTGAGGAACTTCAGAGTCATGCATGGAGTGTCCTAATATCACCTATGCTACAAGTTAAATGGCTCTGTGCAGCCCATAGTGTCTAATTTAGCATAGATAACTTAGTTCCACTAGCCAAAGGCTATACAGATTCATTGGCTTGTATGCTTGTGTTTAGTGTCTATGTCTAATCTTTTTGGGGACATATGAACACACATGATGATTTGGATACATTAAGCCGTGTTATCTAAGGTATAGAAATAAGCTGAAAGCTTACAAACTCGATAGGAATAACACTAACCATAGTTTCAGAAGTGACATCCTTGTCAGGTTTACCAGGAGCCTACACAGAAATCATAGTTCCATTCCATCAAACTATCAAGAGAGAAATATGCAATGTAGCAAAAGGGGGGGAAAATAGATCGCTATTCTGAAACTTTTATCATTCATTACCTTAAGATAATCAAAGACTATAAGGCACTGTACAAGAACATGACGTCGGAAGCTTGGATCTTTTAACTGGAAAACAGATAGGTAGCAATACGTTATAACTTACATGCCATGTATGTTTGTATAACCAGTAATGGCAATACCAATTACCTCTAGTCCCATCAAATTACTGCTAGTAAGATATTTTATATTGAAAGATGCTGCCTCTTCCTCCAAATTATTTGCATCTCCTTCTTCCTCACTCAATGGTTGTGCTTCAAAGGTATCCAACACAACCTACAAATCAAAAGTCAACAGACTTATATTGAAGCCAAATGTTGCAGAAAGAGATACGGCGAAGTGCAACTTCTAGAGAAGAATTTACCGTCAGACTAGATGTATACTTCTGCCACTTGGCTGGGGCAACAGTTAAGGAGGCAGGGTTGCAGAAGAATTCCTGGAAGAACAGTTGTGCAAGATATTTCGGCTTAAGCATAGAAAACCTCCACAGGTGGGAAATATTATTCAACTAATCCATTAATAACTACAAGCCATCTTGCGATTCCCATTAATATAAACCACTGACCTTCGTTCACAATTAAATGTTTCCATTAAAATGTTTTGATATGACAAATTGTTACCTGTAAACTCCACAATGTTTTGTAGTAGTTGAAGTCAATAGAAATGCCTAAAAAAAGAAGGCAGAGATTAGAAAAACAGCACAAAAACACAGGCTATAAGATAGAGGAACCATATAACAAACTTTTTGAAGCTAGAATGTACCTTCTGGTGGATCCTTTTCATATTTCGTCTCATTTGATGTGTTGAAAACTCCTTTGATGTTGACCGCTGTACACATGAAGTGAAGAAACAGATTAAAAGGGTCACTCAAAGGAATCAATGAATAGAGAAAGATGAAGCAGGGATAATAACGTACCTGAACGCTCTGATAATGGGAAAAAGTGCGCCAGAAACATGAGAATCCGTCCACAGAAAACAACATCATTTGCCTAGAAAATCATATCTCAAGTGAGTAGTACTATGCCAAATGGACAACATTATTGCCACACGAAAGTCAACCATAACTCTTACCATCCTTTTTAACTCTGCACATTGCTTATGAAGAATGTAAAGAAAGAGAGAGAGAGAGGGTACGTGTAAAAGAACAAAGCCAAGATTCTAATATGAATACTGAATCACACATAGACAATCAAAGTAACTAATTATTTTCGAAACTGACATCTACTTTTTTCAGACTCAGAATAATGATGCGATAGACTCAATGGTGAAGTCCTAGTAAATAAATAAGCAGCTTGTCAGACTACCAATACCCATACAAAAAAGTTTTTGATCAATATGTATCAAGAACATTTTGGTAACCAGTTAACATACCTTTGAGAGTCGGCGGAGAAGTTGATTACAAGTCCTCAACATGACCAGTTTTCCACGAGCAAAAAGTTCTTGCTGAACGTGAAGTGGATATTTAATAAGATTAGCCTCTCAATTAATAATACAATCAATCGCATAAAGCTAAAAGTAATATCATCTGAAACATCAGACAGCTCTTAAAAACACATACCTTCCCAAGTATGTCCTGTTTACCCTCTATGTAGCCAAATACGTCTTTGCAATTCCTCATTGTGGACATTTCCGTCAAGTCTTCCAGCAGCTGAAATATCATTCCACCTTCAATATGTTCTCTCTGACAGAGATAAAGCACAACATCTGGTAGCATAAAAATTAGTGAGTGAGTTCCATGAAGGTTGGAACTCCCTGTTTCCTTGATTTGTCTGAACGACATGTATCAAGTGAAAGATTCTATATTTCAAGAAGCCACCACTACTGCTCAGCTACAGATTATCCATTACTAATAATACACTACCCAACGCCAGTTATGCTAAAACCTACATTTACAAATTCCACAGATTTGGCTTAATACAACTGCCTATTTAAAACCACCTACAGCCTCACAATTCTTTAGAGCTTATAGTTCACAGAAAAATGCTATTACGACATATCCACGATTGTCAAGCAGAAAAGTACAGGGTAAACTCAAGTAAGTCACCAACAGCTAGTAAGATTATGGACAGACCTAAGAGATGAGGGATTAGGCCCTGAGAACTTTCTTCATCATCAATTGATTGTCCATACTGCATTATCGGCTCCCCTGACTGTGCTGCAGAAGACTGCCATTGTCAAGGTTAACATCTGAAGTCAACAACTGTGTAACAGTGAACCCAAGCTAATAAAAGGCAATGGATCATAGAGAACTCCCAAACAGCATCAACCATGTAAGCAACTAAATTAGATACGCACCACAAGCTCTTGAAGTAACGTCCGGAGCATGTTCTCCAACAATTGATTCTCATCTTGCACTAATTTTGTTTGCCTCTATCACCAAGTAACAAACCAAAACCATTACCAATGAAACATGCACCCAATCTCCAGAAAGTTTTCCAGAAAAACGAGAAGAACAAACCTGAGGTTTGATGAACTCTTGTACAGTTTGAAGAGCGAAATTCTCAGGCGGCCCAGGCTGAAGGATTGCTTTCTTGAAATCTTCCTGCGGCATTTGGTCACCAAGTAAAGGGAGTAAAAACTCAAAACTATAAACCCCCTACAGATTGCGAAACCCTAAAACAATCGAGAATGCTGGAAGCAAGACTGTGAAATTTATAAACAGAAAACGCAAAAGAACTTGGCGCACTGAAAGAACAAAAAAAACGGCCGAATTTCACCATTTCGGAAATCTCGACGGCCGAAGAGAGGTCCGATGGAAAGTAACTTCCGGCGGTTCCGTTCCGTGTCTTCGCTTTCAACGACACAGAGAGCAGCTCCCTCAAACTGATGACTCTATGAAGTTGGGAGAGAGGAAAATCCGGCGACCGGCGGCGTGTGTGAAATTAGAAAACCAGCAACTCTGTCGATCTTGCGAGACCTGAAAGAGTGAAAGTGAACGAAAAATAATAAAGAGTACTAAAAAGAAAACTTTCCAATCGGGATTCTAAAGCCCAGTAATTCCAAGGAATAAGCAGCCCATATACCAGGTGTAAATTTTTGGGCCTGGCCCAACAAGCACAGGTAAAGGTTTTTATTCTCGAACCTTCTGGTCGTCAAACTATAGTCGCTCGCTCAGATCTCGTCTCTGTAGTCTGTTCCAGTTTTACATTCTCCTTCCCTTCATTTTCTCGGTTAGGGTTTATAGCCATTCTCGCTTCGCTTCTCCGAGATCCTTCCCCCACGCTGCTACTCCAATGGCGGCACCAGCAGTCCCCCAACTCAGATCCTCGAAAACGGAGTCGTATGTCGACAACAAGCGGAAGGAAGATGTCCGCCAGGCTAATATCACAGCGGCCAGAGCAGTTGCCGATGCGGTGAGGACCAGCTTGGGCCCGAAAGGGATGGACAAAATGATTTCTACGGCCAGCGGCGAGGTGATAATCACCAACGACGGAGCTACGATTCTGAACCAGATGGGGGTGCTCCAGCCTGCTGCGAAGATGCTGGTCGAGCTCTCCAAGTCGCAGGACACCACCGCTGGCGATGGCACCACCACCGTCGTCGTCATTGCCGGTGCACTTCTCAAGCAGTGCCTGTTGCTACTGTCTAGTGGAATCCATCCCACGGTAATCTCCGACTCTCTCCACAAAGCTTCTGTTAAGGCAGTGGATGTGCTAACTGCTATGGCAGTCCCTGTTGAGCTATCAGATCGGGAATCGCTCATCAAATCTGCGAGCACTTCCTTGAACAGTAAAGTGGTGAGTCAGTACTCCACGCTTCTGGCTCCTTTAGCTGTAGATGCTGTTTTGTCAGTAGTTGATCCGGCCAAGCCTGATTTGGTAGACCTTAGGGATATTAAGATAGTGAAGAAGCTAGGTGGAACTGTGGATGATACCGAGATGGTTAAAGGTTTGGTCTTTGATAAGAAAGTGAGCCATGCCTCTGGTGGACTCACCCGGATGGAGAATGCGAAAATCGCTGTGATTCAGTTCCAAATATCACCTCCCAAGACTGATATAGAACAAAGCATTGTGGTGTCTGATTACACACAGATGGATAGGATTCTTAAGGAAGAGAGGAACTACATTTTGGGAATGATCAAGAAGATCAAAGCAACCGGTTGCAATGTTCTGTTGATTCAGAAGAGTATTCTTAGGGATGCAGTCACTGACCTGTCACTGCATTACTTGGCTAAAGCCAAGATATTGGTTGTGAAGGATGTTGAGAGAGACGACATCGAGTTCATTACCAAGACATTAAACTGCTTGCCAATTGCTAATATCGAGCATTTCAAAGAAGAGAAGATGGGTTATGCTGATCTCGTGGAGGAGGTTTCAGTTGGGGAAGGCAAGATTGTGAAGATTACTGGGATTAGAGATATGGGAAGGACTGCCACAGTTCTTTGTCGTGGGTCTAATCAGTTGGTTCTTGATGAAGCTGACCGGAGCTTGCATGATGCACTTTGTGTCATTAGATGCTTGGTCAACAAGCAATTCTTGATTGCAGGAGGTGGGGCTCCCGAGATTGAGCTGTCCAGGCAGCTCGGTGCATGGGCCAAAGTTCTGCACGGGATGGAAGGTTACTGTGTGAGGTCATTTGCAGAGGCACTCGAGGTCATCCCTTATACTCTTGCAGAGAATGCAGGGCTGAATCCGATTACCATTGTGACGGAGCTGAGAAATAGGCATGCTCAAGGAGAGATCAATGCTGGGATCAATGTGAGGAAAGGGCAAATTACAAACATCTTGGAGGAGAACGTTGTGCAGCCATTGCTCGTGAGCACCAGCGCCATAACTCTAGCAACAGAGTGTGTGAGAATGATTTTGAAGATCGATGACATTGTAACGGTCAGGTAGAGGTAGTTTCTCAAGCTAACAGAGAGCGGGTTTGAAATGTGTTTGTTCACTTGTTTCTCTATGGTTTTTATGTCTTTGCTCCTTGTGATGGATGATGGTTGAAGAAGTTGATCCATGATGTACTTTTGAGTGGTAACTCAAATTTTGGCTTGGATTCAGACAATCTATGCTTTATTATGTGGGGACTTGTAATGTAGTTTACCTTATATGCTCCTGTCAGTCTTGAACTACTTGCACACGCCTACTAGGATAGTAGGACGGTGTTTTCATCACTTCTTTCAGTAGTTTTGTAATTGGCTTCAAAGTTCTTGTGTTCACTTGCTGAAGCTTATATAAGTTGTATTTCTGGATTTCCTTATCGGTGTGTCCGGGTAGTTGTACTTGAAATGCATGAATTGATATTCAAAATATTGTTATTAGCGTGAAAAGCCTGCCTGACTGCCTCAAAATATTCCCATTACTCAACAAAGCCTAGTTGCAGAAGCCTCGAACGCCCTTTCTGAAGTCAACAAACTGAGGAGGCTAAACATTGAAGCAAGTTGGTTCGGTACCTATCTGGTCTGAAGCATCTAAGGGAAAATGAGATTTGTCAATTCAGAAAGATTATGGAGGTTCCCGGGTTGGATAGACTCGAGTTGTCGGAACTTGGAAGTTGCTGCAGATTTCAGACTGTCTGTCGACTAGGGTGTTGCCGCCGGATGGTTGAAAACATTACTACTAGAATGCATTTTCCCATTTAGTGCCATCCTCAATTTGCAAGCTATTATCCAAGGTAAGCTATATGATTTTTGGTCTAATGAAGTATGTTATTTGAATAGTGATACACTTTTGCGGATCATAGTCCAAAACAACAACATTTAGCACTGAAGAAAGCCCTTTGCCTTCAAGCTCTCTATGGTGTCCCTAATAGACACATCCATTGGGGTGAACTTGATCCCTAAACTTTCTGCCTTCTCCGTGGACACTGTAAACATCGGCAGACTCGGAATGATGCCGCTGCTATCTTCACACCTGCCACAAAACCATGCTTTCAAGTTTCAACTACTAGAAACCGATAAATGAGAATCGGAAACATCAACACAAGAGAGCAGGGGGGAAAAAAGCCACACTTGTCAGGAAGATGTAGTGTTGGGTAGAGCTCGTTTATCATCCCCAAAACTTGAGAGAAGTGGGCAATGCTTCCAACTAAGCAGTATCTCCCAGCAGCCGATGGAGTCTCAAAAGCTTTAACATGAGCTTCCACAACATCTCTGACGTCAACCGACCTGTAATATATGTTGGGGTATGTCTCCAAGCTTCCTGCAACATCGTATCCATGAAATCATGTGCATAACCCAGAAGATAGATTAGGGAGGGAACTGAGCAATTTTCTTTCCCCCTTTTACCATTAACCAAGTTGAGAATCATCTCCACCGAGAAGCAAATTGTTGGCTGCAACAGAGGCCCGGTCACAAAACCAGGCAGTAATGTCACCAAGTCAATCCCATTCTCCTTTGCAAAGTCCCAAGCAGCAATCTCAGCCAAAGTCTTGCTTAGCGGGTACCACAGCTTGAATGTATTGAAGAAAATGAAGTTAGACCCTTGATTGATCATTAACTTACCACATCAATTTGACTAATCAGTTATGAACTCACTCACCTTAAGTTGTTCGCAAATGGCTGGATCCGAGAACCAGGACTCATCAGCAACTGAATCTTGGGTCAGTCGCCTCCCTGTGTGGAAAACCGCAGCAGTAGATGAGGTTAAGACCACTCTCTTGACGGAAGGATACTTGGCGCAAGATTTCAGCACGTTCAGCGTCCCTTTCACTGCAGGGTCGACGAGCTCCGCCTGCGGATCGGTGGCAGAGAAGGAAACAGGGGAAGCGGTGTGGAAAACTCCGACGCATCCTTCAATGGCGGGATCGAAGGACCCTTGTTCCAGCAGGTCTGCTCTCACCAAATGGAGCCTCTCCTTGGCTCCATCGAGGCCCAGGAGATGCTCCGTCTTGTTCGGATCGCCTGGGTCACGAACAGAGGCCTTGACGGTGTAGCCCCGTTGGAGCAAAAGCTTGACCAGCCATGAAGCTATGAAACCGGAAGCCCCTGTCACACAGACAACTTTCCCGTCACCGATCATGGTGCAATGACCCACCGCAGCAGCTACCTTAATTAATGGAGCAGATTATGTGTAAACATGTAGTAGGGATGTGCCATTCCGTGCTTGTGATCCAACTACTCACAATACCCAACTACCTTCATGTACTTGTTATCACTCTCCTCCATTTATATGTTATCTTTTGAGTGAGTGAGATCTTAGTTCATGTTTATCACCACGGTGATTCTACAGCAAAATACTTAGCAAGATATGAGTCCCTCCTCTGGGTTTAAAAAAAAAAAAATTGATATTGGGGTGGTGTGTGTCAAGAACCAGTTGGTCCCAATAACTCGAGTTGTTGGGAGAAGGTTCTGCTGGATCTTATACCACTGTCTAACACGCCCCCTCCAACGAAAGCCAACCCATGGGCTTGAAGTTTGCAGAGACCCACCATACCATGTGCTTGAAAGACAACGGTTAATATTGGGGGTCGTGGAGATTCGAACACATGACCTTTCAGTTCTAGGCTCTGATACCATGTCAAGAACCAGTTGGTCCCAATAACGAGTTATTGGGAGAAGGTTCTGCTGGATCTTATACCACTCTCTAACAGTGTGGAATTTGTGATCGATAAATAGATGTATTGTTATTAATGCATGTATAATATTATATATGTATTGTCGAATTTGATGTATTTGTAAAATATAATGTTTGGTATGTTGATTGTATATGCCATATCAGTTAAAAAGTTAGACAAAACAATTTTGACATGATCGATAAATAGATATAAATATATATATATATATATATATGGTTGCCTATTCGGCGCACCCACTTTTTTGGGTGCACTCAGTGCACCCACCTCATAATCATCATTCTGAGCATGCGATTCATATCAAAACGATATCAATTGTTGCTTATGATATTATGAACAAGAAGCACATGAATTTGAAAAATAATCATTCAAAATTTAATTTAATTTGAAGGATTTAGGATTTAGAGATTTAGGGTTAGGGTTTAGGTTTATAATTTTGGATTTTGGGTTGGGATTCAAAATTGAAGGTTAAGGGGTTAGAGTCATATCATCATATTAGATTGAGAGTACTAATTAAAGTTCAAAATTTGATGTATTATAGTCTATAGACCAATGCTGTCAAAGCCGAGCCGGAGTATGACCCGGTAACGTGAACGGCTTGGTCATTAGCGGTCCAGCCGACATTAAACCGTTTAAAAACCGTTTGAGAACCAGTACCTAATAAACAGTCATCTGTAATAATAGACACTTCTTAATCATGGTAAACCACAAGTAAATTACTCTCTTAAGCCATTCTAAACCATTCTAGGAGGCACCCTAGGGATTAGGTAAAGCTCACATGAGTCGGTTGACAATCTAACTTGTTTGGTCGATCTTTAGTGGTTGCTACTAGGAAATTGTTTCCTCTTCTTTTTGGCTTTGTTTGTTAATTTGTTTCCTTCATTTCAGTTCATTCTGATATCTCTTTGCTGGATTTTGCAAACTAATTACAGCTTTGAGAAAGCTTTTCTTCGAATTCCTTTCTCGATCTCTTCAGTTTTTTCTTCGAATTGGATTTTGCAAACTAATTACAGCTTTGATATCTCTTTCTCTTTTTACTGGTTGAGCCACATAAGCATTAATCCATTCGAGCAGGGCAGTTTTTGATAGGAAACTTACCTCGAGCAGGAGGTGAGTCGGCTGTTCTTTGCGGCGGTGAGCAGGGCAGTCTTCACAACCGTTCTTTGCGGTGGCGATTGCTGCTTGCGAGGGCGACTGGCGAGGGCGACTGCTGCTTGCGAGAAGCGACGATGGCGACTGGCGATGGCTCTCTGCTTGCGGCGGCGAGCTGCTTGCGGCGGCGAGCTGCTTGCGGCGACGGGACGGAAGCGCTGGCGATGGTTGACGGCGCCGCTCTCCCTCTGTCGTTTCGTTTGTTCAGGTCGAAGAACTGGAGAAAGAAAAGGAAAGGTAGGGTTTTCAGTTTTGTTTGGCTGGCGGCTGCCAATTCCATTTTTTTTTAGGGTTAATTAAACGGCCGAACCGAGCGAGCGGCTCGAGCGGTTAACCGCTTCGGCCGCTCGCCGGCCGCTGTATTAAACCGTGGCGGTTAAATAGCTGATCCGAGCCGGTTTTGCGGCCGGGTGGCGGCTTTGGCGGTCCGGCTGGCCGGCTCGGTTCGGCTTTGACAGCACTGCTATAGACACTTTTAGAGTTGAGTGCACCCAAAAAAGTGAGTGCGCTTAAATAGCCACCATATATATATATATATATATATGAATTTTGTTAAATTGATACATGTTAGGAGGCAAACATTCGTATCTTCTCGTATTTTCCATACATTTAGAGAAATCAACTTTGTCATAAATCAGTTACTACACCATTCTTCAGGATCAGAGGCTGAACCATCAATGAAAAAGCTGATATTATTACGATAAAGATACATAGGCGTGATTATGCAACAATCGAGATGATAGTAGGGGAGATTGTGTTGAGATCGTTGAACCAGTGTATAGCATTTGGCAAGACAAACTTATCTTCATAACACCACTGATACAAACTATCATTCCATTCGTTTTTTTTTTCTTCTTCTTCTTTGAAATGATATTCCATTTGAATTTTTAGGGCAAGTTCATTGCATCAGAAAGGTTAAAGTATGCAGAGCAAGAAAGGTTAAAGTATTTTTCACTCGTATTTATGGGGAAAAAACACTCATTTATCTCCATATCTCCTATCCCATTCCTATATGACCTGTTATATTAAATAAGGGAATGGTGATAAGGGTCCAGATCTTAGACATGATGATCTATTTCATCAATTAGCGGTGGCACCTACGGCACGTCGCTCACTTATTTTCTTTATACTTTTGCACTCGACATCTCTCTCTGTACTGTAGCGCTGTTGCCTACGTACATACATAGATGATAGAACTGAATTTCATACAAGTAAGATATGAAGTTGATAGGATTGTGCAGCTTTGTTTTCCAGACACAAAAAAAAAAGGTAAAATGTGGGGCTTGCAAGACAAGCAAATTGAAAGCTACCCGAGGGGTGAAAATTGAAGAGTGAATTGACTATCACAGAAACATAAAATGGCAAGGGACATGTACACAACTTAGAAATGAACTCTAAAGGAGTGTTGGGGTCTGCAACAGTTTGGTCCGTACCGAATCGTATCGGATTATATTAACATTCGGACCGCACCATATTGAATTGAATATAATGTGATCGGGTATTTAGTTTCATGAATTTTATAAATACTAAAGAAAAATGGATGGAACTTACATTTGTACCTGACCAAACTGGTGCTGAAGATGCTGCTTGATGGAACTTCAGTTCAGGGGAGGCTGTTGAAGATGGAGATGCTGAAGCATTGCTGAATTCGAATCCGTTCTGGAGAAGGAAAGAGCTGGAGTCAAACTGTGTCGTTTAAGTACTTAAGGGTTTATGTGTTTTTCTAGACTGTGTCGTTTGGTGTTTTGCAGTTTAGTCCTTAATGTTTGTCTTGAGTCTGTAGGGGTCAGTCTGACTAAACTAGCCGTTGCAGCTGTTAGCTTTGACAGAGTCAGTTGGTTAGTCTTGGAGCTAATTCCCAGGAATCGGGTAGTTAGAGTTGTTTGTCAAAGCCGATTCCAAAGGCTTTAGTTGAGAGTTCATGTATAAAACTCGATTCCAAGTCAATGAATAAACTCGTCAGTTTGCATTCAACTTGCTTTCAACTAGAGGAAATAAGTCTAAATGCAAGGTTTGTCTAGTCCTTGCTTATAAGATGTCTTTTTCTATTGAATTATCCTTCTCATGAGTTTGGTACAGTTCGAACCAGACCATTAAACACCTCTAATAAAAAAAGATACATAAAAGAAAGCGGATTTGAATTTATAAAAGAGAGGAATGTAAAATAAATTAGCACAAAAAAGTTAAATATACAGATATATCATAGGTGGGAGATCGATTTGAGAAAATTTGCAACAAGTATAAATCTAGTGACTAGTAGAGTTAAGTATGGAAGTATAGTACAGAGTACATACTGCTTATATTTTGATGACAGGATGATGATATCGGTTGGATATATTATTTTTGTAAATTGATCAGATCAGAATAATTAATTTTCAAACTCCCAAAATCCCTGGGTTTCATACAAAACAAATTCGAACTTTAGTAGCTAGATTATGATTGAGTGAAGAGTTGGTGTACTTGAATGCAATTTGCCCTTTTGTGCTGTTCAACAATTTCAACACACAAAACGACATGTCACGAGCAAATCACGACAAAGCAAAGCAAAGCAAAGCTACTGAGGGCGGCCCCACAATTTCCCGCAGACGGCAGAACCCACACGTTGGGCCTTCGGTCGCAATTCCCGAGGAGACCAAGAGGACGAAAACCTCCGTCTAACAAACCCCGTCAAAGTTATCCGCGTGGTAACGGCGAAACTCACCTCGGAAGCGAATCTCGTAACGGTGGCAAAGTTTTGGCGGTAAAACAACCTACCTGGGGCTTCGTGGCAGCCTATGATTGGCTGGCAATGTATGTATGGCGGCATGTCATGTATGTAGACCCATAGGCCATGTTGGATTTTCCCGCGCTATTAGTAATAGAATAGAGAGAAGAAACTTAGGCATCTCTTTTTCTCCCCCCAAAAAGACGCTTCCGTTGTTAGAGATAGAAATAGAGAGAGAGAGAGAGAGGTCGGCGAGGGGAAAAGGGAAGAAATTTCGGGAGCGAAACGGTCGTTTCTTTGCCGGATGTTGTGAATCGGCGTCGGAGGGCTGCCGTTGTTTCTGTGCGATTTCGGAGCTAGGGTTTTGTTGCGGATGGATCTGGAAATCAGCTGAGATTTTTGAAGGCATTCTTGATTCTGGAGATCTGCAGCCGACCGACAACCCGTGAGTTCTTTTTTTAATCCTTAGCTGTTTCTAGATTTGTATTCTGTTCGCGCAATTTGTGCGTTTGCCATCAATGGGTTGGTCGCACGGAATCGTTAATACTGAAATTCCACATCTTTTTTGAAGTAGGGTTCAGGGTTTGGGTTTGCTGTTTAGGTTAGAGGCTGTTTCTCGGGTCTGAATTTGTTTGACTAGGATAGAGTCAAAGATTAGACCTTGTTAGTTGCTGACTGAGCTGCGGCTTATACGCTGTTCCTAGTCCTTTAATGGAGGTGTGAACACTTCTTATGTATTTGAAATACTCCCTTGGGATTTGAGTTTCTGGGGTTATATCCGTAGTTGGCAATTGTGTCCTTTTCTTTGTAGCCGGTATGTGCTGTGTGTTCTCTATAGCTGAGTTGCCTGCTCACATCACTTTCAGCTCTATAGCTTCTGAAGTCTTTCTTTCTTTAATGTGTTCTGCTGCTGCACTGAGTTTAGTTTGTCCTTGGGACTGTTATTCCATTAGCTTTAGTTTCAAAGTTCTGTTTTGTTTGACTGCAACTTGCTTGTCTAATGCCAATGATGCTTTCTCATAGGCTTTCTAAATGAGTCCACCAGCTTCAGATATGGAAGATACATCGTCTTCAACTGCAATGTCCATTGATCCTCAGAGGAATGGAGGGGAAACTGATGCCGTTGAAGGCCGGTTCATGTCGCTATGCAAGGTATAAAAGCTTGAACAATAACCCTTTGACCTTGGTGTATAAGCTGTCTTTTCGTTTTCTTGCCTGTTTACTTTGTGACTGTGTTTCTGTTGTTATTAGGTTTAATGTTTTCTGATTGTATTGTCATGTGGTAACAGAGTGTACTATCATTGGAGGAGAATGCTTATTCGGAGGCCATTAAGCTTTTCAAAGAGACAAAGCATCTCATGTCGTCTACTACTTCAGCGGTTGGAAGCGGAACGGTGAACTTTTCTGACCATGTGTTTTAAGTGATACATCTGCTGTCCTATATATCTGTGGATGCAATTGAAAGAGCTAAATAAATCCTTTAATATTGTAGCCTGAAGAATTAGAAAGATTTTTGTCTGCATTTGTACTGTACTCTGTCAAGAGGTTGTCGAAGTCTATTGGAGATAAGGAGCACCGCCAGTGCCATGACAGTGGATTGACTTTGTGCCGGATATTGAGATCCGTGAAGCTGAAGTATGATTTCATTTTGTGCAAGTTAAGTTGGGTAGCTTTAACATTTTGATATGCTTATGGTTCCTATCATCTTGCTTTATTGAGTAGCTTTCTGGAATTCTTCAAAGAACTGCCTCAATTTGTCGTGAAAGCTGGCCCTGTGCTGTGTAATATCTATGGTGCGGACTGGGAGAAGAGACTCGAGGTATTCATTCTGCTGATAAACATGGTTACATGTTCAAATCTAGAGTATTCATTATTTTTATATATGCTTAAAAAATTTAGCACAAGTTTTCTGTTTATCCATTTTTCAGGCAAAGGAGTCCCAAGCCAATTTTGTCAACATAAGCACTTTAAGCAGGTGGGTCCTTGTCCTTCATTTGTTGCTAGGTGGTTCATATACTCTCAGTATGTTTTAATTGAGTGTCTAACGAAGCTAGAATATCATATGTTGGGTAAAGCATAAAAACATGTTCACAAAGGCAGATATATTTTTCCTTGGGATCTGATTGTGAATGTACTTTATGTGGGTTACTGGTGGTAATTTCTACAAAAAGGATTGTTCTGTTGTTGGTATCTTCTAGTCTATAAGTTCTATTTGGAGCCTTTAGATGAGTAACAAAGTGTTCTGTTTGATGTTCATAGGCATTACAAGCGTGCGTATCAGGAACTTTTTTTGCTAAATGATACAAATGGCGGCGACAAGGAACCAGCAGTTTCCAGTGCCGTGGCATTTTCCTCAGACTATTATCGTTTTGGATGGTTGCTATTTCTGTCCCTCCGAGTGCATGCACTGGGTCATGTTAAGGATCTAGTGACTTCCATAAATGGATTGATCTCTGTGCTGGTTAGTTACCTTCACCTGTTTCTCCTGTCATTGATACTTTGACTGTATTTGCCAGTTTACATGCCTATCAATATAATTCATCATTTTTGTTCCGTAATCCTACTGAGTTGTATAGAAGCTATCTGCCACCTGCATAGGACTACTGTATTTATGATTTGTGGATGTGTTTCTTACCCTTTTCATATACTTCCTCAGGCTATTTTGATTATCCATCTCCCGGTTCAGTTCAGGAAGTTGAGCTTGAAGGATGAAGGGTGGTTTGGTGATTATCTTCTCTTTCTTGTTTCTTTTGTTTTTACCACTAATTCCCCTTATTTCCCAGGGACCTGCATGTTTTAGTTTTAAATGAATTGGTCTCTAATCTTGTCTGTGTGTATCAGCTAAGAGAGGCGTCAAGGGCGTTCATTTGCTTGCATCCCTCTGCCAGAAGTATGAGACATCGGAGGATGACCTTAAGCAAATGATGGAGAAGACCAATAATTTAATAGTAGAGATCTTGAAGGGAAAACCTCAGGTGGCCTCTGAGTGTGAAATTGAAAGCCTGTTAGATATAGATACAGGTAATATGATGTTTATTTATTTATAACTTGGATTCTTAGGGTATAGGGAGGGTAATAGTGTGTTCTTTTTATTATGATACTTATTAAAGGCTGCATCCTTGCAGAAGGTTTGATATATTATGAAGGTTTGATGGAGGAATCATCTCTGAAAACAAGTTTGAATGCATTGGAGAAGGATTATGGAGAGGCACTCTATCAGAATGGTGATCTGGATGAGAGAATTTTCATCAATGAGGATGATAGCTTACTTGGTTCAGGATGCGTATCTGGTGGTACCAACAATAATTTATTGGGAACTAAGGTGAGGTTTTGTTGTTGCAGAGTGTTCATTCCTTGAAACAAATGTGTACAAACTTAGCATTTGAGTGCTTTGTCTTTTTGTAGTGTGATCTTCGCTAATTACTGCTTTTGAATTTGTTTTCCAATAGAGAAAATTTGATTCAATATCCTCACCAGCAAGAACGATGACAAGTCCACTTTCTCCTTTCCGTTCGCCTGCACCTGGAAGTCTTTATGGTGCAGTCTCTAGGATGGCTCCAACACCTGTAACCACAGCAATGACAACAGCAAAATGGCTCAGAACTGTAGTATCTCCATTGGCACCTAAGCCATCGCCTATTTTGGGGCGCTTCCTCGCATCATGTGATAGGGATGTGACAGATGAGGTGGTTCGAAGAGCACTGATAATATTAGAAGCTATATTCCCAAGTAGTGCTCTGGGAGAGCGTTGTTTGACTGGAAATCTTCAGACTACTAATCTCATGGACAACATATGGGCAGAGCAAAGAAGATTAGAAGCTCTCAAACTATATTACAGGGTTTTGGAGGCAATGTGCACTGCAGAGGCCCAGATATTACATGTTGCTAATCTGACATCATTGTTGACCAATGAAAGGTTTCACAGATGCATGCTTGCATGCTCTGCTGAACTAGTTTTGGCGACACATAAGACTGTTACGATGTTGTTTCCTGCTGTGCTTGAGAGAACTGGCATTACTGCTTTTGATCTCAGCAAGGTGATAGAAAGTTTCATTAGGCATGAAGAGTCTCTTCCTAGGGAATTGAGGCGGCATTTAAATTCCTTGGAAGAACGACTTCTGGAGAGTATGGTCTGGGAAAAGGGTTCTTCATTGTACAATTCTCTGACAGTTGCAAGACCTGGACTTTCTGCTGATATCAGTCGCCTTGGGCTACTGGCAGAGCCCATGCCATCTCTGGATGCGATTGCCATCCATATGAACATTTCTTCAGCAGGCCTGCCGCCCATTCCTTCTATGCAGAAGCATGAGAGTTCTGCAGGTAAGGTTTTTCTCTCTTGTTCTCTTAGCTTCCAGTTAGGTGCATAGAAGCTTGTAGTGGGTCAACCTGACGTCCATTTAACTTCATTTCAGGTCAAAATGGCGACATTAGGTCTCCAAAGAGACCTTGCACAGAGTATAGGAGTGTTTTAGTAGATCGGAATTCCTTTACGTCACCAGTAAAAGATCGTTTGCTGGCCCTCACTAACCTCAAGTCAAAGCTGCCACCACCAGCACTGCAATCTGCATTTGCCAGGTAATTATTGTTCATTGTAAATTATCTATTTGGATTTGTGTTACTGCTCTTCTTTTTCTCTGACAAATCTTTGGTTGGTATTGTCCTAGTCCAACCCGTCCAAGTCCTGGAAGAGGAGGTGAAACATGCGCCGAAACAGCGATCAACATATTTTTCAGCAAGGTAATAGGGGTATACATTGCTTAAGTCAGAGTAGCTAATATATCTACCTAAGTCGATAATTGGCCTATTGATCACAATGGAATGCTTAAACTATTGAGTTGTTTGATCAGTCCTATACTTCTTCCCGGTTGCTTTTTCTAGAAGTAACTACTTGGTAATTCCTGACTAAGTCTGTTTCTTATGATGGTGATCCCGTAGATCAATAAGCTGGCTGCTGTCAGAATCAATGGCATGATTGAAAGGCTACAACAATCGCAACAGCACATAAGAGAGGATGTGTACCGTCTATTTCAGCAAGTACTCATTCAACGGACATCTCTCTTCTTTAATCGCCACATTGACCAAATCCTCCTTTGTTGTCTCTATGGAATTGCTAAGGTTTGGCAGCCGTTGCATTAGCTAGTGGAAGTTTTTGTTTATTTCGTTTTGCCTCATATTTCTATCTCTGTTTGCAGATATCAAAAGTAGAGTTGACTTTTAGGGAAATAATTTACAACTATAAGAAGCAGCCACAGTGTAAGCAACATGTATTTCGCAGTGTATTCATTGACAAGCCAACAGCACGCCACAATGGAGTATGTTCTTTGTTCCTAGCTATCTTCTTTTGTCTTACTTCAATCGACATGTCTAGTAACAATTAGCATGGTTTTGTAACAGAAGACGGTGCGGGATCATGTAGATGTAATTACATTTTACAATGAATTTTTCGTCCCAGTTGCCAAACCTCTGTTCTCAGAAATTAGTTCAGCTGGAACAAGTACAAAAGCTGATCAAGAGACCGAGGTTAACGGTAAAAAAGATGGTAGGTTTTCGTAGAAGCTTCATTCAGAAGTGCAAATTTTCTGTTCCGTTAGATGTTTCTCATTTCTTTGCATTCTCTATTTTCTGGTGGGAGAGCAGGTCAATGCCCATCGCCTAAAGTATGTCCATTTCCAAGTCTCCCTGATATGTCCCCAAAGAAAATATCAGCAGTTCATAATGTCTACGTCTCTCCACTACGAACATCGAAGGTACTAACATTTCCCTGATGTGCATTAGCGTAATTGCCTAAGTTACACTTCATTGTATTATGGAACGATCAGGTCGCTAGTCCTTCATTCAGTGCTTGAACCATGAATGCTGGTCTGATTTCATTGAGGGTATTGATCCGTATTTTGGACGGACTGCTTGAGACCATATTATAAACTTCTGTTTATGCATGTAGATGGATGCTTTGATTTCACATACTTCCAAAAGCTTCTATGCTTGCGTCGGGGAGAGCACTCACGCTTATCAGAGCCCATCCAAAGACCTGGCTGCCATCAACAACAAATTGAATGGGTAACCCCTCACGTTGCTTGCTTCCGGTCATACTTCCAAAATCATATATTTTCTCCTCACTGTACTAATTCCTACTTGCTATCGACCCTTTTTCTCTGGCTCATCCAGCAACCGGAAGGCGAAAATGTCACTTGCATTTGATGGTGCTGATGTTGGACTGGTGAGTGATTCCATAGTGGCTAACAGCTTCAACCTTCAGAATGGAAACCATGCAACATCAACGGGCGGTCCTTTGAAAGCCGAGCAACCCGAGTCTTGAACTCGGTTTGACCTCCTGCACATGGGGCTATCTGCTGTAAATCCACTAGTTTGTCCAGCCGGGTGCTTGTGCTAGTTTTTCGGTATACTTAACTACGACAACTGTAGTAAGGTTGGGGGAAGATGAGGTATGAGCGGTTGAGTTTATTGTTGTAGAGTGGCCGCCACCATCTTCTCCAAGTGTGTTCATCTTCACTGCTAGGTAGATATGAACTTTTGGGGTGTTCTAACACTAGTTTTGCTTTAATAAAAACTATACGTTAAGCGCTCAGAATAGGAACATGCTGTTTGTAATGTACGTTTCTGGTGTTTGCTTCCTTGCTTGAGCGGTGAGCTGACGAACTTTGACACTAGCTGCTAGGTCGGGTTAGATTGGGGTTTTCTAATCTCAAAACCAACCCAGTCGGTGCACTAAAAGAATCTGGTAAAATATCCATCGAGTATTAGAAGTGAAAATCCAGTCCAACGGGTATTGTCGTGGGAAAAACTTGAGAGGTGGAACATGCACTTAAGAGGTGAGAAATTTGAGAGGTGGAACATGCACTAAGATGTGGAACAGGCACTAATAGGTTTGTCGTATCAAAATAAGTCTGTGGCAGTACCTATGGGCAATTAGGATTGTTGGGATCATGGAACAGATGTTAACTTAGCTACATGGGAAAATGTGTCCCACTAATCTATTCTATACACCTTTGTATATTTTTTTTTACAAAAGATAATCATATATTGATAAAAAATAGGCAATTACATCCTGGAACACAACCAGGCCCGGAAGTCAAAGAAATGACTCATAGTTGGGTACAAAGAAAGGGCCTTCCTAGCTACCAAATGAGCTACCCTATTGTTTTGCCGACCTACAAATCGAACACTATATCCTGCAAGAGCCACCACCAAGTTGTTGACCTCTTCCAGAATGGGCCCCATTCGACTATCTCTGGTTTCACCGCGACGGATCTTCTCAATAACCAACTGGGCATCACCTTCAAAGCGCACGGCAGAAAAACCAAGCCCAAGGCACCATAAGATAGCCTCTCTGATTCTCAGAAGGTCCACAATTGCTGGATCATCAATCCCAGGGAAATGAATCCCTTTCACTAGGAGAATCTCCCGGGCCGGATTCAAGAGAACCATCCCTCCCGCCGAATGAGAACCAACCTTTACCGCCCCATCCCACATGCAAATTGCCGAAGCCGGATCCCCCACACTGGTTGGGCCAAAAATAGGGGGAGGCGGGGGGGGGGGGGGGGGGGGCAGGGTCCTTAGGAAGGCTAGCCCATTCATGCACCTGTTGGCGGAATTGGCGCATCAAGGGCGCAACCCCAAATTGTTTACCTTCAAAAACCACCCAGTTGCGCGATCTCCAAATCCTCCATAAGACCACAATCACTTCCATAAACTGAGGCTTCCGGTCAATCAAAGCCAAGAGCTTCTTCAAAAAGAGTGGGAAGGTATGCCGAGGCAATCCCTCCCCTAAGTGAGCCAATCCACACTGATCCCAAATGACACGTGCAACTATGCAATTCATGAACATATGCTCCATTGTTTCAGCACTGGCCTAGCAAACAGGACACCGTGGATGAACCTCGACCTCCTTTTCGATTAACGCCTCTGTCGTAGGCAGAATTCTTTGACAAATCTGCCACACGGACACTTTCATTTTTGGAGGTATATCTGCTTCCCACAACCGGATCCAACTAGTTCGATCCATCCAACTAACCGTGGGTTTCCACTTCCCCCGTTGTTGATCCAGAGTGACCGCCAAATGATATGCCGACTTAACCGTGAACACACAATCAGTGGTGACATGCCAGACCATACGATCCTCTATATCTTGACGAGGTAACGGGATCGCCCTTATAGCCTTGCAGGTCATGGGATCAAACCATTGCCTGAGCTTCTCCTCGCACCACCTACCCTCTCCATGTTGAATTACCTTGGCCACCCTTAGCTCCACCCCTTCCTCCATCTCACGAGGGTTAAATCTGGGGGTAGTGGGTGCAAACTAGGGATCCAACTGGATGTTAAGAGAGCAGCCTGACGCCCATTACCAATCTGCCAACGGAGCCCCTCTGCCAACAACTCCCGTCCATGAAGGATACTCTGCCACCCCCATGAAGGTCTAGACCGAGCTGTTGCCGAGAGAAAAGACCCCCGAGGGAAATACTTCCCTTTATAGACCTGGGCAAGAAGGGAATCAAGTTCATTTAAAATTCGCCACCCAATTTTGTCTAGGAGAGCTTGATTAAACTGTTCAAACCGACGAAACCCCATCCCCCCGTCATGCTTACTCCTGCACATATTCCTCCACGACATCCATCGAATTTTTGACTGACCCTCCTCAACACCCCACCAAAACCGGGCCACATGCTTATCCAACAAGCGGCAGAGAGCCAGAGGCAATTTGAAGCAAGACATGACATGCAGAGGGAGGGCTAAGGCGACTGATTTTATCAGTGTTTCCTTAGCTGCCCAGGAAAGCAATCTCCGTGTCCAACCCTGCAGCCTAGCCAACAGTTTCTCCTCTAGATATCGAAAGGTGACCATTTTTGAACGGGCTATCAAGGACGGGAGGCCCAAGTATTTATCCTGTACCCCTACCGCCCCCACCCCCAGAATTGCAGCTAAAAATTCCTGGTCTGCTGGTACAATGTTCTTGCTGAAGCAAACCGTAGACTTGTCGAGATTAACCCTCTGGCCACTAAGTTCCTCGTACTCATTTAGCACCTCAATCAGATTCTCACATTCCTGGAGGGATCCTCTAAGGAACAAATAAGAGTCATCTGCAAATAATAAGTGCGAGATACGGGGGGCCCTTGGTGCCACTTCACCCCTTCCAGCTGCCATCCGCAATGGCCTTCCTAAGCAAGGCCGCAAAGCCTTCCGTGCATAGCACAAAAAGGAGAGGCGAGAGCGGATCTCCTTGGCGAAGACCCCTTGAGGGGGAGAAGAACTCAGCCGGGGTACCATTCATGAGGACCGAAAAAGTGGTGGATCGGAGACATTCATGAATCCAGCCTCGCCAGACAGAGTTAAAGCCCATCTTTTCCAAAACAGCCAGAAGGAATGACCACTCAACTCTATCATAGGCTTTTTCCATATCAACCTTCAGAGCCATGTATCCCTTCTTGCCACTAGTTTTGATTTTTAGATAGTGCATCAAATCATACCCGAGGAGAATGTTATCGATGATCTGTCTTTCCCTAATAAACGCATTCTGACCTCTGAAATGATTTGGGGTAAGATACCTGCCAGTCTTTCTGCCACGATTTTAGTAATCACTTTATACACAAATTGGCAAAGACTGATGGGCCGGAGTTGCCGTATAGTCTCAACCTGCTCAACTTTGGGGATCAGGGTAAGCCAGGTGTGGTTAAAACTGCGAAGCATCCTACTTGTCTCAAAGAAGGAGCAGACAGCATCCACAACCGATTCACCAACGATATTCCAAAACGCCTTAAAATTTTTTCCAGTAAACCCATCAGACCCTGGCGCTTTAGTCGAGCCCATTGAAAAAACCATCCTCCGAACTTCCCCGGGCAGGACAACAGCCGTCAGATTATCATTCATTTCCCTTGTAACTCTAGAAGCAATGGGGAGCCCCTCCACTCTCTCAGTCATATTAGGAATCTGGTTCTCTGAGGTGAAGAGGGTTTGGTAGAAATCAATGGCTATACCAGCTTTCCCGTGTTCCTCAGAGATCCATTCTCCCTCCTCATTACTGAGGCCAGATACAAAATTCTGTTTACGCCGGGCACGAGTGACTGTATGAAAGTAGGAGGTGTTTTTGTCCCCCTTCTTCAACCAGTGCACACGAGACTTTTGCTGCCAGTAAGCCTCCTCTGCTTCCCATTGCCTATTCAGTTCAGTCTCCATCTTTGTCACTTCCTGCCAATTAATTGGGTGGATAGATTTTAGATGCTCAATTTCAGCTTGCAGAGTATGGATATTCCTCAGGGAGTTTGTCGTCCCTGCCCTACTCCAGTCATAGAGCAGATGTCGGATTTTTTTCAATCGCTCCCAAAGTTGGAACATCGGAGTGCCCTGGATATCTTCCTGCCAGACATATGCTACCATTGCTTTGACCTCTGGGTTATCAGCCCATCTAGCATCAAATCGAAACGACGGGAGACATGTTCGAGCATAGGGTTTATCAGCTAGGAGGAGGGCTCGATGGTCCGACCCCTGATCCGTGTAGTGTTTAACAAGAGTTTCCGGAAATCGATCCACCCAGTGCTGAGAGCATAGAGCTCTATCAAGTCTTTCTCGAATACACACCTGTCCCATACGCCTATTGCTCCAAGTAAAAGGATCCCCTTGGTAGCCTGGATCATGCAAACCCAGATCCTGGACAAAATTACGAAGGCTCAACGATTGGGACACGTTCCATGGATTACCACCCTCCTCTTCAAAATCACTGAGGGTAGCATTCAAATCCCCAATAACCACGAATGGAAGGTGGATGTCATCACAAATTGCACGTAACTGGGTAAGCTGGGTAGCTCGAATGGTCACATGGCAACTCAAGTAAGCACACACCACAACATACGATAAACCATTTTCATTAATTCTAGAACAAATGCAAAAATTAGAATGATAAAACACCGAAGCCTCAACCTCAGGGGACCAAGCTACAACTAGACCACCAGAGCCATTAACGACATCAACAAAAAAACACTAAGAAGATTCAAATCCTAAACCCCGCAAGCGCCGATCGACTACTCTCCAACACGATCTTGTTTCAAAAAAGAAAACAATGTCCGGTTTATTAGAACGAACTAACCCTACAGCAGTTTGGAATGTGAGGGATGGTCCAATTCCTCTCACATTCCAGGCCAATATCCTCATTTAACTGGTTGGGGCCACTCTAGGTTGGCTTCCTCCACCTGTTCAGGATCCTGCTCCTCTTCAATAAACTGTTTCTTTGGGGAGGGGACATCATCAAAATCCCCATCCACGTCTTCTAGCGGGCGCTTTCGATTGCCAGCCGTAGCACCTCCAAGATTCGAACGATATTCATTCAGTTTCAGCACCATCTCTCCCTCCTCATTCTCTGGCATTTTCTTCTCCTCAGTAATGATCATTCCCGCCACTAATGCCGCCACCACCTGTCTAACGTGACCAGAATTAGCACCATTAGAATTCATAGGAGGCGTTCGACTTTTGATCATGAACCGATCATCATCCTCCACCGACGGAGGGGACCCCGAGGCTTCCATTGTAGGCGGATTATCATCAGCCTGGTCGAGTGTCACCGTTGTACCCGTCTCGGCAAAGCCATCCCCAGCAAGGGTTGGAGGTTTATCTTCCTTTTGAA